CCCCCCAGAAAAAACCCCATCTCCCCTCAACACCCTGTTGTAAAAGAGGACAGGATAACTGAGTAGTAATTTATTAAGTAAGAAAGCAAGTACATGTAAGTAAGCAAGTACAATGTATTTCAATTTCAAGTTGACCAACAAGAAAGTTGGTAACAGAAGACAACCTGATAAAAAAGGGTGCCAAAAGTGAACAAGTGTTACACAAACTGTCGCCTCAAAGTACACGAAACGCGAAGTCCGGTTCAGATCAATTCTTAGTGGCGATAATGCCTGAACATTTAGTTTGTGTACTATATATCTATCGTATATCCTCGAAACAGTGCTGGATAAAAATGGGTACATAAGTGTAAAAACCTGTATCCTCTATACAAAACTAACATAATGAATAGAGCGCTTTGAACCTACATAAAGAAATTCACGCAAAACGACAAAGCGAAAATAATGTAAACGACGAGTCTCCATAACTACCAACAATAGCATCAGCAATAGCAGTCACAAAACACTCATCATCATCATCATCATCATCATCATCATCATCATCATCATCATCATCATCATCATCATCATCATCATCATCATCATCATCATCGTGAGCAGTAGCAACATTAATAGTAGAATCAAAGTTAGAAGCAACAGTAATGAGAGCAGAGACATTGTCATCGTCCTCATTATCCACATTTTCACCCCTACCATCACTAACTTTAGAATATGACTAAATGTAATCTTAAACAAAAGATACATTCGAAATTAATAATAGATAGCATTAAATTGATAAATCAAGATAATGAATATCTGAAAGAAATCTTATGAAGAAAAACGTTAAAAAAGTATTAGGGTAACAAAGACGATGGTGGTGCTGGCGACAACTTACCTTCCAAACTCACAATATTATGGAATAGTCCATATCAGAATGCGACTTCTGACCACTACTTAGAATAAAACTAAAAACCGAAAGCAAATGCCTTACTGTCATAACAACTATGACTGACATAGGTGTAAAAGCTGTTACTATATTATTGACCTGGGCAACGTCATTAACTTCTCCGAAGAAACTGCGTTTACCAAATTATTCAGACCTTTGGCCGCAAAAAAATAACAAAGACATCAAAATACGAGTTATTCCCGAGTCGGCTCGTAAATAGGATCGCAGGGACAGAATAATCTGACATGTTTGCCTCAGTGCACAGATCCGCCCACATTAACTCACTTGCCGTTCTCTGGTTCCAGTCAGTCACCTTTGTCGCCCGCAGCCAGCTGGATTGGGTATGAGATTTCCCCACAACAGTATCAGCGCAGAGTAAGCCGCGGGTACAGTATGCTGGCACAGCAGGGAGGGGGGCAGTTTTTGTATCGGGCGAGGTTGTACTGGAATGACTCCCGGTATGGTCATTCCACGATAACTAAAGGAACAAATCATAGGCAATACCTTCTTACACTGATAACGCTCTAAAACTTAAAACAACGATGATGATGATGTAACATTTATTAAGTCCACGCATGTTTCCCCTCTGTCTATCTATTTTATTAATACTTATGATGAGCGATAATGAGCGATAGTGATAGATCTCTCTCTGATTATCACAAAGGAGATTGGCCTTTACATCGGGGTAGAAGTAACAAGGATTGAGTTTAATTGAGCACGATTCCGGCGTAGAAAAATTTCCTGCCTGTGGGGCATTTAAAGCTATTTAATGTTTCATTTTCACACGCAGATGTAAGCCGCTACTACTACTAGAAGATCTATAAAAATTATATAAATATTATTATGATCAGGGGCGGCTCGTGGGGCTAAAAAGTGGACGTGCACAATTAAGCTATCGCATGCTGAAGATACTCAAGGGCATAGTAAATGAGACGGTGCATAATTGTAGAATCTTTGTGTTGGTGAGGGAGGACCTCGTGCTTCTATTTTCATTCTTTTTACTTGTCGCTTTAATTTCTAGTACTAAATTTGTTTGTTAGCTAAACATCAATTTCGTTCATCCTGTATTGGAACTGAACACTCTAGTAGTAACTTTCACTTCCCCACTACAAAACCCTTCAAAGGCACAACTCATAGAACAGTCACGTTCACCTCCCTCAGGTTCACGGTCACAGAGTCACTTAAAATAGTGGCAAGACAGACAATGGACCAATCACAATTCACTTGAGCACTCCGCTGGATTGCTCCGGGGTTCACATAAATTGGCAAAGAATAGCATACGGTCTAACGCGTTTATTTTTAGACTGCCTACTGTTGGCTATGTTTCGGCACTATTCGGCAGGAGCACATTTGAGATGTACCGTCTTATTAATATTAATGTACAGCCAAACTCGCTACGAGTGTCGTCATCGCTTGGGTTATCCCAAAGAGCGATTTATAGGTCAGGTTATCCTATTATATTAAGCTAAAGCGCGTTGACTTTGGCATGGCATAGTAGATGTTCTACGGCCCATAGACACAGAAATGATAGTTATGGCGCCAGCGAGGACGTTGTTTTGATATAATATTTAGCTAGTGTTTGTTTCTGACTTCTTTTATTTGGGTGTTTTACGTAATAGAACATTTTAAAAAATGTGGGCGGCACTGCACGAGCGTGCTCTATGGACGCTCTGATGATGATATGATGTCACATGTTATATTTAGACCACTACTTACTAACTATTCCTTTTCCCTTTCTTTGGTTTGTCCGATATATTATTTTTCTAACACGCACCATTACGCATCATGATGTAAGTATACTAATAATTTTGTTTCCCTGGTGTGGTTATTATTATTTTTCCATCGACCTGACGAAACCCTCAGGGCGTTTAAGTGCTATAAATTTTGTAATTCTAATTAAGGTCTCCAACAATTTTTTTTGGCTTTTTTTTATTCGAGCTGTCAACAAAGATGATGATGATAATGATGATGCTGATGATGATGCCCCTTGGCCTGGCTCGCTCTTAGTTACTTCCGTTTAGTCTGTAACCAGACGTAATCTTAAGACCCTCTTTTTAGGCCCATTTCCCTGCAAATATACAGCGCTCATTTAGCTTTTTTCTAAGTTCCCAAAAGAGGTGAAACGTTGAGCTGTGCCTATTAAACAAATTTTTAACATGTTATATTGTTATGATATTATTTTCTGAAATTCAAACAAGATTCTCCCTCCTACTCTGCTTTCCAAACAATGATGACCATGATCATGATGATGTTCTGTTTTGTTTTTTTGTTCCCTAAATTTGGGCCTGGCGGACTCCATGAAGAAATCTTCGAGCGAGAGCGAGGCTCTTTTGATGATGATGATGATGATGATGATGATGATGATGCTGATGATGATGATGATGATGATGATGATAATGATGATGATGATGGTGATGATGATGATAGTCCTCATTATCAACATCATAACAGCATTCATAATGATAAAAAAATAATAATGAAAATAAAAATT